TGTGGAAAACATTGTGACAGTTCCTCAAAAAACTACAAATAGAACTAGCACATGACCTAGCAATTCCATTCCTCCTAACCACATAACCAAATACTTGAAGGCACTCAAAATAGACTTATACACCAGTGTTCATTGCAGCACTATTCACAATAGCCAAAGGGTAGAAACAACCAAAATGTACATCAACAGATGAATGGATAAACAAAATGTGGTACATGTATGCAGAAGACTACTACTCAGCCAATAGGAGAAATGAAGTCTCAGTAAACGCTACAGTATGGACGGAGCTGGAAGATACTATGCTGAGCAAAATAAGCCAATATAAAAGGACAAATATTGTATGACCTCATTTAGATTTAAAAAAAAAAGGCAAATGTATAAAGACCAAAGTTTATTAGTGGTTACCAAGGGCAAGTGGGAAAATTGTATTGTTTAAGAATAGGGTTGCACGGATTACTGTAACTGCTGCAAGTTGTACACTTGTAAAAAGTTGAATTGGCAAAAGTTGTGTGACAGATATATGACGACAGAAAAAATTAAAAAAAAAAAAAGAATAGCTGCTGGGACTGCTTATGTATACCACAACACCTCATGGGATTTGATTCCATGGTTCCAAAGTTTAGGGTCATGGTTTCATGGGACATCCCAGTTAATCAGCCTAATGTGTTTAGTGCTTCTGTTCTCCCTCCTAGTTTGTTGCATATCTGGGGTCTCAAAATCTTACAAGTAAGCCGTTCAGGGCACAAGAACTGGTCTCTATTTCCCTGGAGCAACAGGAGGAGGAGGAAAGTCAGGAATAGGAGGACAATATGGAATGTATGGCAAATTGTTTCCACGAACAACCTCCTCCTTTGCCATGAGACCAGAAGAATTCAGTGGTGACTGGCTACTATTACCGAACATTTTGATCAAAGAATTCATAGAAGAATCCTAATCAAAAGGAGGAAAATGTACAGCAAAATTTCAAATTGCTGTGGACTCCAGACATTATGGAGTCATGGAGGGTGGATGAACCCCTGAAACTACTACCCCGAGATAATCTTTAAACCTTAAACCAAAAATATTCTTCTTAAAACCAAACAGTTTAGCTTAACGATTTAAAAGGTCTGTCTTGAGCATTACGCTCTTTTAAGAGCTATCTATATGGGATCAAACTGATAACAGCAACTCAAAAGATAAGAAAGGAACCTTAGGGGGCAGTGAGTATATATTAATGAGGGAGGAAAAATTCAGAAGAGGAGGATGAGAATGGATACATACAACTTAAAGGATGTAATCAATGTCACTACAGTGTACATGTAGAAACTTGAACTGGTGTGTTTTGCTGTGTATATTCTCAATAGTAACAAAATAAATAAAATTTAGGGAAAAAATTTTTTGTTTTTGAGGATAATTTAAATAAGGAATTCAGATCAATATATAATGAATAAAATAAAAAACAGTAGTCTCCCTCACATATTAAGAAAACATCTGAGGACATCCTGTATAATAATCTGTCTCCCTGCCCCACCACACTGACAGCTCACAGCCTCCTGCCCTGCTAAGGCACATGGCTGAGGTACTACAAAGTCAGGTGCCTGGTGAATAAGACAGAGGAAAAGATGGTTAAGGTGGGGTCATAAAAAAGGAAGATGAAAAAGTTTCTGAGGAAGCACCATTATCCCTTGGTCTCCTCAACTCACATGAAGATATCATCTCGGTCCAAAATGCTGTTCAGAGAGTCCTCCAGCTGATAAATCTTATAGAAGCGGTGACTGAAGACATCAGCCACCATCATCTGGGAATGTGATGCAGAGAGATGACTGGTCAGTCTGCAAGGTCTCCTCATGCCCTTCTGCCTCCCAGCCCCTGAATCTCACTATTCCTCCATCTGTAGATCCTTACCCTGTCTGGCTGGACACCTGTGTGTTTGGAAAGAGCCACACACAGATCCGAGATTTTGCCTTTCTTGGGAACGACGAGCCGGTGCTATAAGACAAACAGTATCCACAAAGATCAGAAGGGGAGTGTGGTGGGTTAATACAGGAAACCTTGAGGTATGGCAGATTAATGGAACAAAATCTAACTACATGTCCTTCATTATGTCCCATACCTGTTCTGGCTTGCGGCGGGGATCCATAGAGACATAGAAGACCTCCATGACCCTCTTGGGGCTTACAGGCAGCGGGACGCTGAGGTAGCAGAAGGGGTCAAAGGTCACAGACACATTGCCGCAATCAGGGCACACCAATGTGGACTTGAAGAGGCCGTGGAAAGTGTCCACAATCACAGAATTGTTCCGCCGTTTGTGGTTCTGCCAGGCCTCCTGAGCAACCTCCTGTCAACAATGTCATGGTTTGGGGGGCTTGCCTAGGTTTTGGAGTATATGCATATGGAGTGGGGGTAAAGGTTAGGACCACTATTAAAGAAGTAGAATTATAGCTAAGGATGTCTGGACACTGTTCACTGTTAAGGATTTATTTTGGGCAGGAAATTGGGTTGGGTTTAACTCTGGGCTGGGTAAGGGAGGAGAAGTAGTACTGGACCTAAAGTTAAGACTGGGCTTAAAGATAAATTCAGGGTGGAGGAACTTAACAGAAAATGGTGGGGGTGTTAGATAATCCAGGGAGGCCAAAGAAATCCCTGAGACAGAGGTCCTAGCAGCTTTAATGGGAGCTCTCGGGATGGTGCTCTGGAGAGAACCCATGGGGGACTTTCAGGAGTAACCTACCTGATCAGGCCGCCCAGCAGCATCACACAGCTCCACGTACTCCTTCTTCTTGACCCGATTGAGGTCCTCATGAAGCCCATCCAGGAGGAATGACAGTAGCTCCTGTGAGTCATGCTGCTGGTAGCCCAGAAACTGGGAAGCAAAGTGGCCGACCTTGGTCTGGGAGAGGGGGCAAGACCACGAGAGACAGAGGGAATTACGAGAGTCAAGAGGGGTATGTGGGTGTGGGGGTGTGTGTGTACAGGGTGGGGGGATACACAGTTGACTCACACCTTGAACACCTGAGGCACAATGGAGCAGTGATGGCCAGACCATGCCTGCTTCACCAGATCTGCATAGGCCTCTGCAATCTCACCCTTCATGCCCAGCGGGTTGCAGAAGTTGAGCTCTTCCAGGTAACGATTGTTGAGGAAATACTCAGTGAGCTGTGGCACATTGCTGAGGCACTGCAAGAAGCAGATGCCAGGTGAATAAAGCAGAGAAGGAGAGAAGGTGACCAAGGTGGAGACAAAGAAAACAAAACAAGGAGGGAGCAGAAAGGGGGAAGAAAGAAAGGATAGGGGAATGGGTGAACAAAAATACCAATATTCAGAAGAATGTGGTGGCAAAAGAAGCTTAAAAAAGTGTGGGGGGGGAAGCAAGGGGCAAGCAGAAGCCAAGGGGCAAGCAGAGGGAGATGGTATTGACATTTCATGAGGAGGAGGAACTCATGTTCCAGGAATCAATGGGGGTATCAATTCAGACTTGTGGGGCCCTAGCTTCCAACCTGATCCCTTGCCCTACAGGGCCCCCCCTTGGTCCCCTATTTCTGTCCCCAATCCCCAGTTCTTGAAGCTTATTCAGGCTGCCAGACACAGCCCCAATGGGCTAACCTGCAGAGCTGAGTTCATGAAGCACGTGTTGCCCAGATTGGTAAGACCACAGATGCCTGGCTGGCCCTGGAAGTCCTCATCTTCCTTTGACACATTCTTTCTATAGTTGAACGAGAAATTCTATCAGCTGAGCACCTAATACATACAGGTGAAAAGTGTTCATGGGCTCAATCCTTCTGCCTATTGTGGGACCCCATTCTGGACCAGACACCCCAAGGCTCACATGACACAGTGCTTTGCGCTGGGCCAAGTGCCATCTTTGTTTCGGGTTTCCATGACAATCACCTGGGTTGAAGGAAGAGAAAGAAGAGAACGAAAGGCATTAATGGAGGACCTACACCTCACCTCCCCCAACCCAAGCACTGCCAGGTGAGTCTATCTGCCAGTCCAGAAAAGCCCTCTCCATCCTTACCTGCCCAGTATTGAGGCGGGCGTCAAATACTGTAACGTGTGTGTTGCACAGCCGCTCAAAGGAGCCGTCTGAGTGCCTGATCCAGAGCCGTGTCTCTTCTTGGGAGTTAACTAGAAATAGCTCCCGAGCTCTGAGCAACACTAAGTCTGTGGAGAGATGGAACACATTCAAGGTCTTCCTGAGATCCAGAATGACAGAACCATCTTGGCATCGGACCCCTGACTCACCGCCATTCACTTTGCATACTTGGTCAATACCTAAATCAGAAATTTGTGTCCTCTATCAATCTCCAAATGACTGATGCACCCTCAGGACTTGAGATTCCCCAGTATACTATCTTCCACCAATGAAATGCAGCTCACATACTCTTGGGACTCTAGGGGACATCCTCAGTGCCTCTACCCATCTGTGAACCTCCAAAAGACCTTCCTCATTCTTCAAATGCCTTCTTAGTCTGCCACAGCCTAACTCATGCAATCTCAGGGAATCAAGCTATAGCCTGTAGCTGGGAACACCAATTCATTCTGGGACCCTTAGACTTACCAAGAGAATCTGTGTGGCTGAACTGGGCAGTATGAGATGTGCCTAAATCACTGTGCTGGAAAAGCAGCAGCTCTACTGGATAAACCTCAATCTTCTGGATGCTGGGCAGCTCCACAACCTGAAAAGGTGAGGAGTGCATATATCGGTATACCTACACAGCATACACACACAGACACAGGCACAAAGAAAGACCTTTGTGGGTAGAGGAACAAACACTTAGGCATACAAACTACATAATGATCTTTAAGGATTAGCATGCACAGGTGAACATAAACAGTGAGCACACACAGACATGTGTATAATGAATGACCTGTGCGGGGAGAGGAATGCAGACGTAGGTGGATCTATGCAGCATACACAGAGACATTGTACACATGGCTCTGGACCTATGCTGGGCCTATTATAAGACCTTCCTCCTCTCCCACCTCTTAGAAAATCTACTCCTCCCAGCAGTCTCCAAATACCTTGCGTTCAATGGGTGGCTGGCCATGCTTCAGACCATACCAGCTGACCAGGTAATGCCAAGCAGCTGCTGGGAGCAAAACATAGTCCTCACCTTCCACCAATCCCTTCTTGAGGTGCCAGTTTACTGGGTCTGGACAGGAGGGAAGAATCAGGAAAGGGAACTGGCAAATAAATCTAGGCATCCCACCAATGACCCACAGAGGATGGGCTTGTGATCATTTGTAGGGACAGAGAGGCCAAGAACTCCAGGGCTAGGTTGATGTGGGGAGGCAGAAGCTTGATACCTTCAAAGAGCTTGGCATTGTTGATACAGCCGGGGAAGGTGCTTGAGTCCTGGTCCCCTCCCTGCACGTACACTTCCCACTGTTTATACCAGTGCTGCTCCACAAGGAACCTGGGGCCCAGACACACAACAAAGGTTACATTGGGCTTAGCTGTACAACTTCCGTGGTTATGTTAGTTATATTCCACTAAAAGTGTAATTCAAGATGAAAATAATTTAGAAACAAAATTATTTTATCAAGAAGTTCAGATTTAGTACTAGATTACCCAAGTTCTTGGAATACTAAAAGAAATTTGAGTAAAAACAGAAAATGTGCTCAATGGCACACACACACACACACAAAAAAACACCCACCAACAGTGCTATAGAAGAAAGACTTTTCATAGAACAAAAGGTTTTCATTTGTGTGTCTGTGGAATAACAGTTTAATTACATTCAAAATACCTGTCATTTGTAGCTACTTGTTATAAAGCTTTGGGGATTCATTAACTATATATTGTCCTTAAAGGATCTATAAATGGAAATAAAGTTCTTCAGCTAAGAAATGGATTTGGTAAATTCTGAAAATCTGCTCAGAAATGAAAAAAGAACTAAAAATGCTACAGAATCATAAGGTTTTCCCTCAGAAGAAAAATCGCATGCTGCTATTTTTCATCATTTTTTTAAGGTTTATTTTGACTTTATAATAAATTTCTGAACTTACAGTAACTTGTTCTCTTTTAAAAGATAAATTTTTATATGCACTGCAAGGATAAACATTAAGGATTGTTTTGAAATCTTCCTTTGTAAAATTTTATTAAAAATTCTGAAGTATGAGAAATACACAACATATTGTAACTTCTAAATGAATGTTAGCTACTGTTATTCTGATCATGAGGTCTGGACATAAAAGCTTGCATACTACAGCCCCTCCCACACTCACACACAAACCTACTTTGCTATGGAATTTTTGACACATAAAAGACTCTCCCAAAGACTTAACATCCTAAAATAAACACTTTTGAAAAATAATAAAATTAATGAAAAATATGTAACATTATACTGGTTGGTTTTCTGGCATCTGGGCCTCATAAATGTGATTCTTTAAAATGTCAACTTTCCCTTGCTTACAAAAGGATCAGAGAGGTTGTGAAATGATCGGATACAAAAATTCCAAAAAAGAAACAAGTCACCAGAATAGGCAACATTTCTGTGTTTTTATTGTTTTCCCCCTCTGCACTGACTCCCAAAGACTCAAGCCAAGGCAACACAAATTCCCATCACTAGTACCAGGGAAACACACACTCGTTGCCCCTGGTAGCTCATGCCACAGACTTCCCTCATCCCAAAGACCCTACCACAGGCCCTTACCCTGTGCCATACTCACACCTTTATTCCCCTTAATTTCACTGCTTTAATATC